TACTTCTAAATATTGACAATATTAATAATATCCATGAAGATGGTGACCACAAAGAGACAACTTTAACATCACTGATGATTTAGGAAAGTTATTCCAAGTCTCGTCGTTTGACGTCTACTCCATTGCCATACGTCAAAAACTACTGCATTATTAAAGTGTTGATTTACTGCTAATTTCGAATCTAGTCGGATGAATAAAATAATATTTTGGAGAAGTATTAATACAAGTTGTATAAAAAAAAACGGAATATTTTATACACGACGATAATAGCATGTCTGATTTAAGTATTTTTCTTCTTTTTATATTAATTGGTACTAATATACTAACTGATGCTATCTCGATTACTTTTTTCCGGATAAAACTCTAGATGTAAAGATTGTTGTTAAGTACAAGCTGCAAAATGGGCTATCTGTGCTCTGCCCACCACAGATATCTGTTTGTTTGAAGTTAAGCACAAAGCTACGCAATGGGCTATCTGTGCTCTGCCCACCATAGATATCTGTTTGTTTGAAGTTAAGCACAAAGCTACGCAATGGGCTATCTGTGCTCTGCCCACCACGGGTATCGAAACCCGGTTTCTACCGTTGTAAGTCCGCAGACATACCGCTGTACCACGGATATCTAAACTTGGATTTTAGCGTTGTAAGTCTGTAAACTTACCGCTGACCCATAGGGAGACAGATGTAATAGCCTATGCAAAAAGAAAAATATATATATTAAAATACATGTGAAGTGAAATACATGTGAAATTATAAATAATTTTACAGCAAATTTTAACAAACAGCTCGATATCTCTTATTCAATAAATGTTCATATCTGTGTACTTTCTGGTGTACCTTAATAGAATGAGTTTCAGGGACTACATTTTCTATCTACTTTTTAACATCCTCCTCCCATTTTAACTCCTTAGTTTAAGAACTTTATATCTAGTAAATTGTTATTTGTATAGAGTCTATAATATTATTACCATTACACACATACATATATTATGTAATCGGCCCCCTAGTGGCACAGCGGTTGGTCTGCAAACTTACAACGC